TAATCCCCTCCAGTGGAAGTGATCCCTGATCCGCTGGTAGGTTCGCCACACTCCCTGATGTCGTCCTTCCAACGTGGTGTGATAGTGGTGTAACACGTCCGATTGCAGCGTTTCGGGAACTACCAATCTCATCAATCCGTCGCGATCGTCCCCTGATCTCGGCGTGGAGGGCAGTAAAAGAGTAGATCCTGCTCGTCTACCTCGTAGTCGGCGGCGATCTTGCCATACGATCTTGCTTCCGCTTGAGTAAGATCTGCGATCGAGCCACTCAGATACTTCTTCATGCCGGCGATCCAGCCTTCTTCCTCTTGGGCTTGCTTGATCCGATCGACCCGGATTTCCCGGATCAGATCCTCTTTCATGACACCCGCCGGTGACCTCGCTCGGCCAGCTCGAGTGGTAACCGCAGCAACTCGCACCACTGGATTATCGGTCTTGGGAATCAAGATTTCGTCTAACCGGTTCAGAATGACCAGATCCTGGCCCCGGGCACCTCCTGGACCTTGATCCCCCCTTGTCGTAGCAAAGCGGCGCTTGCTAGACTGTGGTCACTTCCGTTCCAGTCCCTCTTGACGTACACCAACTCATGAGCACTCCATTTCCTCAGCCGATCGAGGGCTTTCCCCTTCAATAGAGTCAGTCCGGGTGCTTTGCAGTCGATCTCACCCCATACTTGTCGGATCACTAGGTTGGAATCCCCGCAGACCACCAGACGTCTGCGATCTAAGCTCTCTAGCATGTCGAGCCCCAAGATCAGGCCGTTATATTCAGCTTCGTTCACGGTGAGGCTCTCGAGATAGCCGGATCTGGCCTTGACCACCTCCCATCCGGGTAGACTCCACACGATCGCGCTGAACGCCCCACCACGCTTAACTCTAGCGGATCTGTCAAAGCTGATCACCCATAGTTCCTCGCCTCGATCTACGGTGGGTATCGGCGCTTGGATCCGGCGTTTAGGTTCTTTCCGGGGAGGGGGGGGGCGATTTCGGCCAGTGCGTCGTCGATCGTGATGCTAGCAGCGATCGTCCCCAGTATCTCGTCCTCACCCTGCGTGCACTTTGCGATCTCGAGTGTCCATGGGGCCAGGAGGGCAGACCATTGACCCAAGGGACCCTGTAATCCCGTCGCCTTGAACAGCCAGGCCAACGTGGAATGCCTGGTCAGGACCCGGATCTCGCGTCCAACAAACAAATTGTAATAGAAATCGAAGATCCTCAGCAGTCCCAACACCTCCTTCTTAGTCACATTGTAATTCAACTCGTTCGTCTTCAAGGTGCGACTGGCGAACGCCACCGGATGATAGATCCCGTCGTGTTCTTGCGCCAACGAAGCGGATGTCATCCAATCACTGGCATATACGATAACTACCGGCGTTCTCGCCTCGTCGAAATGGCGGAGGACTGGGGTAGTCGCGAACTTGGCTTTCAGGGCGATGAAGACCCTATGTGCCCTGATTCACCTCTCGTCCACTGACCCGTCAACTTCAGTTCCGGTGGGTCGTGATCTCGAAGAATCAGGTCATTCCGGTCCTAGATCTCCCTCATATTCGATCGTTTCTCCAGTTCTGGAAACTCCACCTCACGTAATTCGTAGAGTACTGAGGCATAGATAGCGTAATTTTCGATGAATCGGCTGTAGTAATTCAGACTGCCCCGGAACGACTGCATAGATCGTAATGATCCGGGGAACGGCAGATCAGTCAACGATTTCAGGTCTTTCGGGCTCGCCTCCAAACCTCTGGTCGACACTCGGTGACCCAGATATCCTACCTTATCCATGGCCCCAAAAGCTCTTGGCTACACTGATCGACAAATTCCACTTATCACAAGCTTCCAACAGATCTTCCATTTTTCGGCACATTTGATCCCACGATTCCGCTGCGATTATGATATCGTCGATGTATGATCTCCGTCCCAACCCTGACTAGCGATCAGGATCGTCCGCGATCCCTGTCTGGAACACGTCCGTTGTGGTTCCAGCGTCGCCGGATCGCGAGATCTTCAAAGATCCATACAGCGTGTTGTCTACGAGGCGTTGATAAATCTGCGGGGCATTCTTTAGACCAAATGACATGCGTCTCCATTCGAATAATCCAAACGGGGTGATAAATGCTGAGATCTCGCGAGCCCGATCCGTCATGGGCACGATCCAGCAACCGCTAGCCATATCCAGCGAACAGTACCATAGTGCTTTATCAAAATCTTCTAGCAGATCGCTGATCAGAGGCATAGAGTAGACCATCAATCTCGTGAGGCTGTTTACCAACTTGTAGCCAATGCACAACCTGATATTCACACCGTTACCCTTGCGAACAATCACGATCGGTGAGGCCCATGGCGATGTCGAGGGTCGGATGATCTCGGCTGCCAGGAGATCCTTGATCAGACCTGCGACTTTTTCGCGGAATCGCGTGGATACTTTTCGGGTTTGCAGTGCGATTGGTTTCGCATTCCCGACATCGATATCGGATACGACGCCCTTGGACGCCGGGGAATATTTGTCGGAGCCTCTCGATCTCCTCAGGTGTGGCCGATCTGGAGTCTCCCACCTGCAGATCATCAATGCTCACCTTCGCAGTCGTCGAGATCGGGATTTTGGGGAGGAAAGCCAGGTTTCCTTGAAGATCTTCAGCTGAGAGATCTCCGCTGCCATGGTAGTATATCTCCTCCTCGTCCTCGGCATCCGGTGGGGTGGTCGCTGTGGCTCCTTCTGCCGGCGGATTCCGTTGTTCGACGCCCTCAATCGGGAGGATTGGGAGTTTTGCGTCGGGTTCTTCGCCGGGATCGAGTTTGATTTGGCTTTGATCAAGTTGGATCTTGTTTTGGTGTTCCGTTTTCGGGTTAATATCCTTGGTGCCAGTCCGATTATCCGTCTTGATATCCTTGGTATCCGTCCGATCGGTGACCTGGTCGGGCGTGCTCGCACTTATCCCGCCGCTCTCAGCATCGCCGCTCAGGTATCGATCGGCATCGGGACTAGTCGTTGGCGTAGATGGGTGACCTCGTCCCGGTTCGGTGATTTCTGCCTCGATCTGAGTTGCGTCGGCCATTCCCGCCCTCGGTCGAGATTCTAGGGTCGATACCCATGTTCGATCTCTGTCAATTTTATCGGATCCCGGCCGGCGAAGTATCGATCGTGCCGTGGAAAACGATGGACGTAGCGCTACCGGCTCCGATGGGTACTCCATCGACTCTGGAGGTTCGGATCTAATATCCTCGGTCGATTCAAGTGCCAGATTCTGCCATTCTCGGTAGCGACGTGACCCGACGGACATGAACCCTGGTGATCGGCGTACTTTGTCCTGATTCAGTATCATGTCGACGTCCAGGCGGTGATCTAGCCGTAGGATCCTATCTCCGATGTTCTAGATCACTTGGTAACGGATCCGACCGGGGCCTTCCCCAACTGTCGGTACCCATCGTTCTCCTTTGGTGACCCACAACTTCTCCATAGCCGACAATTTTATTCTCGCCGCTGTTTCTTCCGACCGGCCGACCGGGATTCGAAGAGATTGTTCGAGAGTGACCGATCTCACCTTCTCGCCATACAATCTCTTACGATCATTAAGCGATATTCCCACTTCGTCAGGTAGCCGCATCGATCCGTCGGGGAGGTCCATCCGTACTCCGGCTGGGACTATAAAGCCCATACCCAGGATCGCGTTCTGTCCTGCGAGATCCCCGATCCAGATGTCAAAAAATATACCAGATATCCCGCTAGAGTGATCTTGATCTTGGTTCTTCCTTCCGTAGTATATACGTTATCACCGATTCCCACACATTCCTGTCTCTGGCTAGTGTCAAACATGCACCCCACCTTACGGGCAAAGGTGGTGTCCAAGATTGATACATCAGCACCAGTATCTAGGAGGAGGATCGCTCTCTCACGATTGATCCTTCCCGAGATATTGGCTTGTCGGAACCATTTCCCCGAGGAGTGACGTTTCCAATATCCCCTGGACTCTCCTCTTTTGAGAACTAGGGCGACATCCCCGTTAGATCGGCTGAACTCACTGATCTGGGGAAGACTCGCAATCTTGTCGGTGTACGAATGCAAGTTACATGTATTACTGCGTAGATCCGATTTCCTCCTATCTCGATCAGCCGTCGCCTTGTTCACATAACCGTAGATGCAATATCTAGAACGCTCGGCTCCTACCGGGTTCCACTCCGGCGAGCGTCCTAGTTCAACATCTTCTTCCCTTGTTCGGGGAACAGCCCGGCGTGTCGAGTCGGATCGTACCATTTGCGGATCTGATTATAGAATTCCTCCATAGGGCATTCTCCTACTTCATGGACGTCCCCGCATTCGCGACACACGTACAGACAACGATCCGTAGGGTGGCCTCGCTTTCCACACTTTTCACATATCAGACGCTTCCAGCGGTCCAAATCCGTGTGTTTCCTGGACCCACAGTGGGAGCAGCGCTCTCGATCTTGGTGATCTCTGTCTCCCAGACTGCGGCGATCCGAGATCCGTGATCCCTCGGAGGCTTTCGTTCGGGAACGTATTGAATCTGGGTTCTGCGAGGCGCCCCCCAGTGCTGATCAACTTCTCTTCTGCTGCAGCGAGGAAAATACTTCGCAGGTCACCTTCTGAGTCGGATCCGTCCGATCCTGAAACTCCTTCTGACTCGAATCATGCGTTTGGATCGCGCGTACCACGGCACGGGCTGGTGCGGCCAGGACGCTGGACGGGGTCACCTGTCGCAATTTCGACCCGAACGCGGATCTGCGTTGTCTGCTCTTAGCTCGTTCCCGCACACGGAGAACTTCCTCCCTCCCGTTCGTCGACGTCAGCCAGTCGTAATAGTGTTAGGCGGCCTGCCAATTCGGGATCGCCCAACGTTTCGATGTAATGATCGACGTATTCCCGACATGCCTTCGGATTTCCATCCTTCATCTTGAGTTTGGCTCGTAGAGCAGCCACGTTCAGTCGATAAAGATAATCCAGCGAGATCTCCTCGGATTTTTCCGGGCATGATAGTACTGCCATACCACTGACATACCCAGACCGCAGTATTGGGTCTGGAAACCTTCGAGTAAGTCCGCCCAATTAGTCTTGGTAGTTTGACTTAACTGTCGGTGCCAGTTCTTGGCTGGTCCTAGTATCAGACCTGCAACGTGAGGCATTT